AATTCAATTTTGTTTTATATTGATTCCGTGATCTATTTCAAATCTGTTTTCATAAATAAAAACTCCATGGGATTTTGCCCTTTTTGTAGTAGATAACTCTTATATATACAGATGTTTGAAATCTGAAATGCAATTTTATTACTTTAGCATAAGTTTTAAACGTATATAGTCTAGTGCTCAATGAAACAGAAGTCTAAATTTCTAATACTGGTTTCAGATGATTATATATACTGGGAAAATTATTTCCTCAAGAGAATTGAACGCATGAGCATAAACAACCCAAAAACAGTAGATATCCTCCTCAAGGACGTCGGCGACGTATTGGAGGTCAAGGCCATGAAGGTCGAGGCCAATGATTTACTTTGTGAGTAATATTTTATCCGGTATGAAGATTTCGATTCTACTTCATACAAATTATAAACAGAAAGACGTGCTTTATTCGAATTGCATGTCATAATTTGGATGTTTTCAGAGTTACATGTCTTTCAATAAATAAGTATATGACTGCCTCGGAAAATAAAATGTCAAGAGGTATGCTAAGCAGTAAAAACTTTTTGAAAGTCAAATGTAAACTAACATTTGTTAGGCATTCTAAAGAGAACGGATTTTAGATTTACACTTTATACCTACAAAATCATCTTTCTAGAACTATGTAGATTTTATCTGAAAATAAAACTGCGCAATCTGTGTTTAACAGGCGCTCCAGGAGCTCCAATAGATACTAGAGTAATGGATGTGACAAACACAACTGTCACCCTGACGTGGGAGGCTGGATACGACTGGGGAACATCTCAAAACTTCAGAATAGAGAGAAATACGTCAACTGGGTGGAAGCTCCTGGGCCAAAGCATTCCATCCAACAATCAACAATCATTCAACCAGAAAGTAACCGGATTAGTTACGAATGAGAGTTATGAAATCCGGATCAGAGCATGCAACACAGCGAAAGGATGCAACAAGGAGAAGTTCGATGTTGTACTCTCTTTCAAAACGAAAGGTACCGTAGGCTTTCAATATACTTTAGTTTGAAAATGTGTACTACTCTTTCTTTCAATAATCTTTCCATTTCTAAATCTATATTCTTCATCACTTCTCCTTTCATTAGACATTTAATCTTTTTTTAAAAGATTTAATAGACTATACTAGCTTGTTGCTTTTAATTTCAGTGGAACCTTTGTAGTGCATTAACAATAAAAAATTAGAATGTTTGTATAGAATGTTTACAGTTAGTCAGTTCATTATAATTACTACATTTTTAAACCTGCATGGGGACGCCATTTTATATAATTACACTCTTTTGTCTGCCTATAGGATACCCGGAAGTATTAGTTAATCCGTATGTTTTTAACGTGACCAACACAACGGCTACACTTCTGTATACACTCCCAAATTACAAACAAGCTGACCTAGTAACATTGGTTGTTCTGGTCCGGAATCAGGGCAGACCGTGGGAGTCATTCACGGAATTCAAGCCCAAAATGAGAAGTGATTCAGGCGAAATCTTTGTCGAGGTGTCCCGTTTACAACCCCGTACAAGATATGAATTTTTGGTTAGACCCTGTAATGCTTATGGATGTAACCCAAGGGATCCCGAAATACTACTGGTCACTACATTCGGTAAAAAAAAATTAGCTATTGGCTGCAGTTTTTTGAAAATTAAGAATCTTGATATGGCTAGTATTGTTCCTTTTCTTCAACGAATTTTGAAAAAAAATTAATAATTTCATAACAATAAGGCTTGCAAATATTTAAAACCCATTATGTTCCCAGGCTACCCGGACCTTCCCGGATATCTTCGTGTCTCCAAAATAACCAATACGTCAGCAAGAGTAGTATTTAATTCAAACTTCTTAAACACGCCAACTAAAGTGATGATCAGTGTGGAAAGTGAAGGAGGTATATTGCCACCAGGGGCTCCCTATACTGTCACAGCTTTAGAGGGTAGAGGGTAGAGGGTAGAGGGTAGACATTGATGCTCTTCAGCCCAAAACAGTGTACCACGTGACGCTGAAGACGTGCAATGTTTACGGTTGTAACCCAAGTCATACAAAACCATTTAGATTTGTAACTCGAGGTAATCACAGCACCACACTGTCTCAAATTTGTCAATCTAAGTCATACAAAATTTTCTGATATTCACAGTCAATGTCAAATCTTAATTTCCAATCACAATTATGAACAGGGGTACCTGACAGGCCATATGTTTTCAAGGTCACAAATAAGACATCATCTTCTGTGACCTTGACCTGGGGAGTGGCCTACAACAAAGAGGAACAGTTCCATAATTATTCCCTCCACGTAGCTGTGAACAATGAGAACTGGACCACAATCGAGAGTTTTGTGTCCCCTGATAGGGGCGGACTTATTAATTATACATACAGCGGGCTAAAGGAGAACACACAATATTCCTTTATACACTGTAAGAAATGTGTTTAGAATTCAAACACTTTTCTAAACACTTTTTTGTCACCTTCTTTTTTATATGTTTAATTCCTAAACATGTTTAGTTTCTAAACACGTATGAGAAAGTGTTTAGAATGGAAGCACATAAGTGTTTAGATTCTAAACACTTTCTCATACATGTTTAGAAATTTTACATGTTTAGGAATTAAACATATAAAAAAGAAGGTGACAAAAATCAGAAAAGTGTTTGAGTTTTAAACACATTTCTTAATTATGTGCTTACAAATTGAACATATCTAGATTAAACATATTAAAACAAGTGTTACTGCAGAAAAATATAAACACTTGTAAATTTTGGCACAAAGAGCATATTATTTTTAATACACATAATATTGTCAAAATTTTCAAATTATTAACCGATATAAATTATTCATCATAAGGCCTCTGGTTGTTTAGATATGTAGATACTTTATAATTGTGTGATGTTCTTTTTACTCAAATTTAATATTTTGATCTCTATAAGTTTAATCAGCATGAAATACATTGTATTTATAATGCAGGTATGGGCAACAAAAATAAAATAAGCTAGCAATTTTATATCAAAACTTCCTTTAATAATGCATTATTAAAGATATTTCAATTAAAATTATAAAATATTTATTTTATATAATATTTTGCATATGATTAATTAAGTGTCAATCAATTATCATATGTCAGTCATCAAAAATTGATTAACTTTCAGCATTAAAGCACTACATAGCAACATGATATAATATCCCATCAGCTGTGGTAATCCATTTCAAATGCACAAGGATAATCACAAAATGACAATTTTAGGTACATGTATTCAAATCCACGACATTTTTGATGAACCCAATCTTAAAAATTGTTGTGTTGATCATGCATTTGCACTGTGAAACAGATGCAGGTACTTTGATACATACATGCTTTGAGTTTTGTGTTTTATAAAAGTACTGTATGATTGGATGACATCAATTTTTCAAGTCGCATTGGAACTATGCTTAAATTAAAATAGTTATTTTTGATGAAATTCAATGTAACCTCCTCGCCTACAAGTCTATAAACGACCTCAAAGGCACTGTTTACATTGCTCATCGTGGTTTAATAATGCAAATCTTAATAAAAAGAAAACATATTAATATATTGCATAAAAAGATGCCTTTCAAATGATTTTCAATATTTCTTCATGGTTATCCGTTGGGTTGTCAGTATCTCTCATCATACCTCTCTTAAGCCTGTTTTACTAAGTACTTTGTTCATTCTTAACGTTCTAATACATATGTGTCATTAAATGTGCCAATTTCTAGAAATAAAAGTTTAGAAGGTTGTTATGACTATATGCAATTTTTACAGTGTATATGTACGATAAAATCACTTAGAGCTCAAATTTACATTTTTAATGTAGATTTTTCTTTTGTCCTAATGTAGAAATGTATACTCTCCTTTGATGTTATATATATACTTCATGAATTATATGCATAAAAATTATCAGCAAAAATGACTTATAAACAGAATGTGTGGTTTTATTATACAAATCGAACACGACAATGACATCTTTTGTGTGAGTAGCATTTTGTGAAACTATATATTTGTGTTTTATGAGGATTTCGGAAAAGTGCTTTGATCATTATATGATCAGCCTGTTCATCATTCTAGTTCTAATCATATGTGTCATTAAATGTGCCATGAGAAATAAAAGTTCTAAGGATGACTATATGCACGTTAAATATAACGATAAACCAGCTCAAATTTAGTTAGTGTAGATTTTTTAATTCAGATGTTTTCATGTCTTTTTTTTTATTATACAATAGAGTTGTTTATGTATGTGTATGTCTACATGTTGTTTATGTATGTGTACATGTGCTCCTTCTTTTGCATGTTGCTGTGATAACGTATCTTGTTTTATGTTATGCTGATTTGTCAAATGAATTTTTTTTTACATTTTAATAAAGGATTTTATACGTAACCTTTGTTCTAGATAAGTTGTAGCTTACACTAACTATTCTAGTATTTCCCTGAATCCATTGTCTGGCGTCAGGTGACTCCTTACATGTACAACGTCACAAATTAAGTTGACAAAGATTCGAATTTATTTTATTCAAAAGGAACGGTGTTACGTCTTCGCTTAAGACCAAGTAATTAGGAAATATTGGAAACTAAGTACAATCTTTTTGATATCTTTGGTAGAACTTGTTAGATAGGTCAAATAATAAATTAGCTCTGTCCTTAGAACAAATGCATTTGTAATGTTTTGATAATAAAATAATATAGTAATAATCTGTTGCCTTAAATACAAAATATATGCCCCCGTAATCGAAAATTCTAGTGTACAAATGTAGATATTCTTGTGACAAGCCCTTGTAACCTTTCAATAGGTGCATATATTTTGAATTTAGGCTTAGAGTTAGACCAGTTTTAAAAAATCTTTTAACTTTGTGTGACTTTTGAACAGTTAGCACTAGGGCTATCATATTTCACGGGTGTATTCCTTGTGATAAGACCGTTTTTGATTACAACAATTCTGAATAATACAATTTTAATTGAATAAGTATTAGAATGTTCAGTTAATAATTCAGATATTTGACAAATCAAGTCATCTACATAAAATGAAAGGTATGACAATCAGGCTGTTCAAAATGCTTTTTTTTTTATTTCAAAGTATTTAAATCCTGTTTTATGCTGGAGAAAATTTAATCATTTTCTAGTTTAATTAAAACAATGAATTAAAATACTACTCGTCAAGTACGTAATAGCATCAATGGAAGAATGTCAGCTATAGCTATATATTAACCTTTGGAACACCGCCATCTTTGGAATGTATGGAAGGCTTTTTGGGAGAGCCAGTCTCGGGTTTGCAGTCCTGGTTTCGTATTCTTCCTACGTGGTGGGGAGGATGTATCTTCTCGGATCTTGAAGCAAACATACTCGTCACCTCCAAAATGTTGATAGCTTCCCCAAGGTGTTCGTCTCCTGATTGATTCGGTTTCTTCTGAGGAAGAGGCTGATCTTCCTCATCGGTGTCTGGTTCTTGTTGAATCCTCTCAGCGGGGAATGTTCTAGATGGACCTGCCATTTGGTTTGCTTGCCTAAAACAAACACAGTACACAATGCAGCTGTATTTCAGGAAATATTTGCATATTCATCAAGGGAAACACACAGAATTTAATATTTAAAAATATATACTGTAATTGTTTAATTCGTTCTTTATTGTGTCTTACAACGTACCAAAAATCGGATACTTTCATTCTCTTTTTCGCTTGCTTTTTCTTTCGATACACAATAATGATTAGCAAAAAGGCAATGCATATGCATATCAAAATAGCCACAAGTTTTGCTGGGTTAATTGCGCATGTGTAACCGGCTAATTTATCCAGACAGTCATACATTAAAGGACACGGGTTTGGAATACATTCGTTGATTTCATTTCCACAAAACTGGCCCTCATATCCTTTGTCACAAATACATTTAAATTTCTCAAACGAAGCGGATCGTATCTTGTCATTGCAATCAGGTCCGTTTGGATTTATTCGCTCGCAACTGCCATGGACGCATGGATTTTGTAAAACAAAAATTTGAAACCATACGGCCTTACTGTACCATTTGACAGAATCGTACACCAAAAGTCCATATTCTACATATCCGTATGCTAAGACATTTAGTTTAAGGTACAGGTCAAATGATTTCACTACGGTTGGAGGAGCTGTGGAGTTGGTGAGGAAGTCTAACAAGAAAGGATTCGGACTGTCTGTTTCTTGTAGATCAAAAAGCATATTATTAGATCCATTGCTATAAACTTGATACGTTAAGGAATCGTTCTGGTCAATATCGAAAGCAACGAAGGATCCTATAAAATATTCGGCATTATTGGCTTCAACTATCACATCAATCTTGTTCTGTGACTTTGAGTCAAATGTTTTGTTGGATGAAGTGCCAAAGAACATTGACGGGCCATCATTAACATTTTCTATCAAAATATCAAATGTTAAATTAAATTGATTCACTAATTCTTGCGAGTACTCTGAAATGGTTTCTGTGATGCCAATATGTATTGTGTCCTTCCCAAAAAAATTTGGATTTGGTTGATAATCTATCGTTCCATTTTCAGTGATATTGGCAATTCCGTGAAAAGGACCACCTATCAAATTAAAAGTGATGTTATCATTCTCGCTGTCCTCCCATTCAATGTTATAATGAAGAAATCCGTCCTCATGGATTGTCTTTTCGGTCTTTTTTATGATAGGCGATGAGTTTTGGAGTTCTTTCTTGATAATCACCAGTGCATATTGGCGTGGTTCTGTGAGGGTAACCATCTGGAATGTTTGCCTTTTGATTCTTTCATGGTCAGGATCATTTATGCAAATCTATAGAAGTACAAATTAAAGACAAACATTTTGATGAAAGAGATCAATGTTAACACAATTACAATCTTCGTGATAAACTTAAAGACTTAACTTTTCTATCGGTAGCTTCCCCTACATGTATGTATGTAGCATAATATATCATTATCATTATGTCTCCAAAAATATTCGATTCATGCTCCACATACGAACAGTTTCTGAAAGAGGTGAGCGGCTGACAACTAACTTGATGAAACAAGGATATTAACAGTATAATTTAAAGTCAAAATTTCCAAAATTATATGGTTAATATGTATAAATATAATCACTTAGTCAGCCAATACAACAATATATCATTACATCGAATATTAATTGACACTTTTCACACAAATTGTAAGGCAATTATATTCATATGTAGGACCTGTCGACAGGGGATACTTACTACTCCAAGGTACCTGATCAAACATCTGATATTTTAAGAAGCCCGTGTTTGCTCTGCTCCAAAGAATTGTTTCAATATAAATAGACGCTCGAACCTGATTACTACCGTATAAGTAGAATTTTTAGCGAGGATTTAATTTTGGCATTATTATCGATAGTGATGACATCGCTAAAATTGAATATCGCTAAAAATTCATTGCGTATTATTTCTAATAGCTTCTATAGACTTTAATTAGCATTTTAAAATCGCTAAAATTACTTCTCGCTAAAAATAAAATACCAGATTTTAGGTAGAAATCGCTAAATTTGCGTCTCGCTAAAATTTCCACTTATACGGTATTTGTTATCTTCTTATTTCATGAACTTTTTTAAAAAATATTTTCTATGAACGATTCAGATTGCTATCTAAAATCTCCTATGAGACATATCTCTATGCACTTTTTCGCATTTCTTATGAAGAAATTAATCGAATTTGGCGATATTAAGATCAAAATAAATTATTTGTTTCATAAACAAGGAGTGTCTATCAAGAGGTCATTAGCAACAACCTTCACAGGAGTCAATATGAAATTTCTGTTTCTCATCAGATTTTGTCTATATACATGTGTTGTTATGTAAAAGAAAAGATGCATATTTTGACCGCACTCACACCCAAGTGACGGTTTAGAATGAAGTGACTCTATCTGAAATGCTTACTTATTCATACGATTAATCATGGTCTTGCTGTTCTTAAGAAAGGGATTTTACATGTATTTATATATCCTTTGAACAAAACTTATCTAAACTAATTTAAGTAACTTCAATATCAATTGAATATTCACGGCTCTCCTATCCTTTTTCGTTCTTCATATCCTCATATGTTAAACTCTGAGAGTTAATTGGTCGCCCTGCTTGCTGCTGCTTTTTATTTAATTTAAAAAAAAAGTTTTTTCCCCGGAAATTCTCTTGATCCAACAAAAATTCTTGGGGTCATGATTTGAAAAGAAAAAAAATCAATTTACACCACCTGCAAAAGTTAAATGTAGGTTTCAGTATTTGAAGCAGTTCTTGGAAGGATTTCTTAAAGAAGCCGCCTTTTCACTTTACGATTCTTAACTATCTATATTATCTTCATTTGAATTCTCTTTTACCCCATCGACCAGGTGCTTGTTGGAAGTCGAAAATGTGAAGAATTATAAGACGGACAGATCTAGTCAGAGGGACAAAATTCGACCAGATGTGCTTAAACGAAACTTACTTTTCCTTTTAATGTGCCCTGTTCGTGATTGATTTCGATATCTTGTTTACAATGGTCATCGAACATTTGCCATTCTTCTTTAGCTTAAAAGAAATAAAGACATAATTTGATTTTTAACAAACAGAGGAAAGGAAATTCTTTCAAGAAAGCGTAATTTGACTTCTCATTTGAAAATTTCAGGCACATAGCAACGGGGGGGGGGACATTACTTTTACTATTGGAAATGATCATTAAAAGGATGGTTGCCCCCCCCCCCCCACCACACACACCTTATAGTACAGTAAGTTAATATCAAGGAAAATGTAGTATAGAAAGCGGGAAAATTGGTACTGAAAGAAGTTGGCATTGAAAAAAGTTGGCCTGAACCCCGCCCCCCCCCCCTTCCCCCCTCCTCTACGAAATAGGATTTTGGAGTTTGGGCAATCCCCCCCCTTTTTTTTTAAAATTTATTTATTTATTTTTTTTTTTTTTTGCTTTTCAACTTTTTCAGGTAAGTCAAAAAAGTATTTTCTCTGGCTGCCACCCCCCACTTTAAAAAAACGATGCTACATGGCTGAATTTGACAGTGTTTGCTCTTGCATAAATTTAGACGTTATAAGACGTTAATTTAAAGATGATATTATTTGGTTACGGTCATGCTTGCTTACTCAAACCGAATCGTCGCCAGCGCGGTGCTGTGGTTAAGCGTCTGATATAAAGTCGCGAAGTAAGGAGTTCAGATCCTTACGTCGCGGGTTCAAATTCCACTGTTAGGCCTGGAGACCTTATAAACTGGAGTCCCGTGTCGCAGAAGGTACTGGCACGAAAAGATCCCTCACTGCATGCTCAATGGCCATAAGTGCCAAGTATAGGACAAAATTTGCAGCTCTCCACCAGCAAATAGTTGCGTCCTCATACGGGTAAAAATTCTCGAGAGAGACGTAAAACAATATTCAATCAATCAACCGAATCAACTGCTTATTTGAGAATTAGGCAATGATACCTCTATTCCATATGACCAGCGTAGGTTGTGTAGACTCCATCAAGTCGGATTTGTTGACAGTCAAAGTAAAGTCTATCCAGCGATTGATAACTGCCTCGCTGTTTGGTGACATGAAGAAGGATAAGTCAGAAAACTTCAAAATTCTGTGAAAGAAAAAAAGGTGATGTCTATAGAACATTTGTTGCTTATATCTGGCTTGAAGAGATTTGAATTATTGATCAGACTTGGATTCTACAAGCTGTTTTACATGCCCTACCTTCTTTGTAGTGTCCTGGATGTTTGAGAAGTAGTAATAATCGGATCTACAATATACGGTTTATAATTGGGCCCACTAGCAGAACCATAATTCATTCTGGTGTCGTTTCTAGTTAGTACTCCAAAAGATATGTCCCCTTTGCTTCCTGCAATAAATAAAGAAAATAAAACTCTACTGAATTCTCAACTTTTAATTTTTATATTAGTAATGGTGTTATATACCTATTTTCAAAAAGTATTCCTTTTCCTTTCCGTTTGCATCGAATTAACGTTTACGTGTAAATTCTGTGTGGAATAATGTTTTTAATGTGACTTTGAAAATGTTACATTTTACATTCTAGGGAAACATTTTTGAATATTTATAACAAGAAGAAATCAGAATTCACTATTTGTACGCACTTTTGATTAATTGAATCAGATTTACTTTTAGAAACAAATAACATTGATGTGCCTTCACTATACACATAAAATATGTAAATTATTTCAAAATAATGACGTCATTTCGAAATGCGCATTACTTAAGTCTAAATGTTGTTCAACTTGAATGAAAAACATAGACAGGCAAAGCTACAAACCTGCAGAAACTAGAAGCTAAACCTAATTACTAATCTGCAGGAAAATAATAATTAGGGTTCCATTACATAAATATCAAATAGTTTTCTGTCAGTGTTAAAACTTACAGGAATTTGGGAGACTTGCCTTGTAATTTTATTGTCAGATTGCTGTTCATTGTGTTGTGATGTGCATCATCTACAAATCTATCATTAGTCAAATGCACTGTGTGAATCTTTCTGCTATGAAATGAGACTAAGTGGTCAGCTGGTCCTGCCAAAAAAAAAAATATTTTGTAATACATTTATCACATGGCAACTAATTAATTCGAAAAAAAAAGAAATCTAAGAACAATAAACTCGTACGTATATAACAATTTGCATCTAGCGGCAATTGGCTTGACAAGTGAGATCTGCTTACGGCAAACAGTCCCATGTGAACACATTTTCCAGGTTCAATGTTATAGAAGGCATTCTTTTTTGCTTCAGCTATAGATTTATTGTCCCATGTTTTCAGAACAAATTTTGCGAGAGTTGTGTTAGTCTTCTGGTTATCCAACCACATTCTCCCATTCACAATAGCAACTGAGCGCGATCTGCTATTTCCAACTTTCACTTTTTCTAGAAGATCTCCTTCTCCATCGTGAGAACCAATCTGCCACTCTGTTAACAATGATAATAACGAGAGCTCAATCCATAAATCTCATATATGAAGTTTCTTTCAAATGCATTTTTTATATTATTATTTCTTTTTATAAATGTTGGTTCTCTGCATCAAAAAAATAAGGATTGCTCGGCTATTGAACTAGATATTTTTCATTGTATATTTGCGATTATTTAAAAATTGAAAAAAAAAATTACCATAAAATTCAGCGTCAGTTGTATGGGGATTCCATTGCACACCAATATTGTTCTGAGACGATAGATATGTTACATTTCGAGGTGCATTGATGATTGATGAACTTTTGAACAGGACAGCTGTGTCTGTCTTTGATATATCCGGTGCACGTAAATCAATGGTAACATTGCAGAACTCTTTCGCATGTAAACCCCCCGAGTTATATGCATGTACTGCTATGAAGTAAGTAGTAAAGTTCTGAAGTATTCCTTCGAGATTGTCAACTCGAAAAGTTGTATTTAGGCCGATGTTCGTTTCGTTGAGAACACTAGTGTCATTTACTGATACCCCAACAGAGATTACATATCTGATTATTTGACTGACATCTTCGTTACATTCCCAAAATGCCCCTAAACTTCTCAAACTTTTTTGATAATTAGCGGGCTCTGTCATAGAATGGTCAGGATCCACACACTTCATCTTTACGAATTCTGGTGCTGTAGTGTCAATAGTTATAGCAGGGCTATGGACAAGAACCTCAAGACCGGCCCGGTTTATTATTATAGCATTTACGAAGTATGCAGGACTTTCATATGAATCAAAAGCACTATTCCCGTTGCTTGTATCAAACATTCTGTTGTGTACTCCTTCATTTGCAACTGATGCTGATAGCAGTGTTAAATTGGTTATCTGAATTGGAATAATTTGAAATTGTTCTTCTGCAGAACAATTTTTGTCGCATAGATGAGGGCAAATTTCAATGCAAGGCTGACAAATTTCCATCACCAACTGAAAAGGTTTGATATTGTCCGTTCTACTGATGCTATCCGATATGCCTGCCCAAATTTCTTTGATATGACTTTCTCCATCGAAGAACGACTTCCCATGTTGGCAATCATGGTCAATATCTAAGGGCACCTGAATGTTCGTAAACCTGGAGACACCATAAAATGGATGAAATACATCAGTTATTGGAGGAAAAAAACCATCATTATTATTTGTTAGTAAAAACATGGACCAGCTTTTTTGAAATACAAGGCCAGTAAACTGCACTAGTTCCTGTTGATCAATGAAATATTTTACGTTCCATTTAACTTCATGTCCGCCTTGATCAGATATGCTTTCCAATTCGAAGTCGATGTCGACAAAACTGTTTTCTTTTTCAAAATTCAATACTCTAGTATGAATCTCATATCTATCCATAGCCCAAAGGACAATTTCTCGAATGCGGGCATTCGGATATCCTCGAATTGCAATTCCTATTGAATATACATTGGGTGATCTGGTGGCGGTGCTGGTTGAGGAATTTGAATCGATATTAATCCGTTCTGTAAAATGTAAAGGGATATGGAGAAGATCAGAAGAAAGACCAATAATTGTGCTCATGTTCTGACCAGGTAAGGGGTTAACTCTATATGAATACACACCAGTTTTAATATCTAGTGAATCTGAACGAACTCCCCCTTTTATAATTTTTTGCAACGTATCGTCGTGTCGAATAGCAATCTCAAGATGTTCCAAGCTTATATCTGTACATTCTGAGGAAAAATTTGAAATTGAGCTAAATGCACTGAAAGGAAACTTTTGCTGTCGAGGACATTCATAAACACGTTTTGTTTTCGCAACTGCAAGGACAGCTTGAATTTCTGATTGGGAGAATTGAAATGGCTTTGATCCAGTCCAGTCTAATCCTGGTTTTATATCTCCAAGCAAGGGTTTCGTCATGTCAACATATATAGGTACACTGGTTATTATAGTACTTAACCCTGCTCGATTTACAACCTTTAATCGAACAAAGTAGGGGACATCACTCTGGAGGTTCAATTGATAAATTCTATAGTTTGTTTCATTTTTAATTTCTGTTCTTATGATAATGGTTTCCTCTACAGATGTACATTGAGGCTTTGAATACAAAGTTAAAATATACATTTTTATTCCACTTTCGTTATCTAATCCGTCTTCCCAGTGTACCTCTAGGCTAGTATTATCATGAACGTAAATGACAGACGTCTCTTGGAAGGATCCAATGAAAAGTTTTCTTTGTAACGGAGGAGTAGTATCAATTGTTAACGAATCTCCAGACACCACGGAACATAATGCAGATTCATCTTTAGCAATAACTGTAATGAAATATTCTGACCCATGCCGAAGCTGCAAATTTTCTATTGTTACATACGTATCTAATCCGCAACTCTTAGGCAAGAGTACATCAAAATGTCTTGCATATGCATCACCTAATGCAGAGCAGTTAGATGTTTCATTATTTATGAAAGGTTTAGAAGACCCAACAGCCACGTAATATTGTCTTATGCCAAGATCTGAACCAAAACTACTCCAAAATACATTTATTTTATCTGTCATTGCTTGAAAACGATCATAATGTATTTTTCCCGGTGTAATTCCGTTTCTGAAACCAACCCTCACTCCATCAGATGTAGATTCCTGTTCACTTCCAGTTTGACTGATAGCCTTTACTGATACGTAATAAGTAACTGTTTTCTCAGTCAAATTTAGGTTGGTAAATGTGTGTGTTCTATTCAAACCTACGTCAACGAAAGTATGAACATTACTCCTTGTATTACTGTATCTTCGATCATTACCAATGGCCACCATGTACTTTACTATTGTTTGGGTAGGATCCTTTCTCATGTCGTTTCCAAATTTATCCCAGTTTGCTGATATTTCCGAAAATGATGCCTGGTAATCTAGATCATCACTTAGTCCATCGCGAACGAATCCAGGATCCGGTGGTTGTATTCGAACAGCTATTCCATCTGATCGTGACAGAAAAGTTCTTTGAAGAGCATCAGTTATGCGAATTAAATTAATATACGTTTTTCCATTTCGTAAGAGAAGTTCATCATTAAAGAAATGAGTGCTTGCTCCCGGGATATTTGTGAAATTCTGAACGACATTGCCCTCAATGTCTTCAATAGCCCATTCAGCTTTCACTACTCGGCACAAGTCTGAATAAATCCAATTTCCGCTCATTTCCGAAGTTCGATGCTGAAAATCTTCATCATAAATCGGGCTATATCCATCAATCACTGACAATGAAGGGTTTGGACTTATTGCAACCGGGTCAGAGACAACTGCTTTAAAAAGTCCAACACTATTAAACACTCTTACTGTCGCATATACCATTTTCCCGACTGGTAAAACTACGCCATTTAAAAACGTATAATTGCTGTAGGGTTCTGAAGTATAATCCATTATGTTCGTGATTCCAGGTGATGTCCCGAGTCCTACTTGAATTCTGGTGTAAAAAGGAGAAAAAATATTATGTCTCTTATTGGAAAAGCAAGTTGATGAAACAAGAACATCAGCAGTCTCTTTTAAAGTCATCATTTTGTAAGTTCTATGGTCAATACAATGACCTTGTCAACAAATGACATTTATCATTGAGTCAAATGCTGACTGAAGTTATTTCCCGATCATGACAAGGAGCACATGGCAAGTGTGACCTGTCGGCAGGGAATGCTTACTCCTCCATGGCACCTAATCCCAGTTTGCTCTACTCTTATTCTTTTATCATGGATTTTTGATCTTGAATACTGTTCGTTATCTCCAAATGCTTCATATTACATTATTTTAAGGAGAATTTTAAGTACGGCTCCGTGTAAAAATCATGCAGATAGTACAGAAAAGGTGATTCATCGATAATCTTCAAATTCAATAAAATTGGGTTTAATATATTCATTTGGGTCTAAAATGAATATAAACAGTTGATTTTGTTATAATTCTTCTTTTTTCATATAGCCAGGGACAAAGAACTTGAGGTGTAATTTTGTATAGATAGTGTGCAAATAATGCCTATTTCAGAAAAAGAATATCTTTAAAACCCAAGATGTACAAAAACTTAATATATAGTTAAAGTGAAAATGGAAGGCTTGATAAAAATTTACTTTAATATTTTTGTGCAAACGAAGTATTGAAAAGATACAAGGTATTTAAAATCGAGAATTTGTTAAGATTCTTCAAATGAGTTATCTCCCTTTGCAATTTTACATAGGGGGCGCTAGTAAAAAAAATGGCAGCCTCCATGGTTAGCTGTACGCTGCAAAGTTATTTTGATGCATCTTGTGATGTTTATTGCAAAAAATATGTGTGAAGTGACATAAATTGGTTGAAAGGATTCTACAAGAACAGATTAGGCATAGTTTTCGGGCAAAAGTATAGCCATGTGTCGTGTTGATTAGTATATTGACCATGTTGACGTTCTCCCGAAATGGTACTCGCCTACTGACACCATTGTGATCTATCTCGGAAGTTTAACTTCTACGGTAATCCACCAGAGTTCAAGAGTAAACTCTCAGAGAGGGGTGGCAGTCCGATCTTGTCAGCTTACTCGACTTGGAGAGGGAAAATAATGTACATTTGGACAGTTACATTTGACCAGGTAAGATCAGGTCTAGAACAATTTCTTGATTAAGATAATTAATTTTGTAGCTTGAAAGAGCTATGAAGCTTTAATATGTTGACGGTGCAACCGTTAAGGAGGGCGCAGATACTTATCCATTTTCATTTAGATTGGACATGTAAATCCGCACGTGACATTAAGTGCGTATTAGGGCCGTATCAATATATCGATATATCGATACGTATCGATATTCAAGAAAAATATCACATCGAAAAATTACATCCAATACGTATTGTACAAGAAGTTTTTTTTATTAATTCTGCTAAAAAGATGGGAATTTTAATCAGCAAAGATTAAATTTCACTTTTTTGAATTAAAACTGATCAATTATTATAGATTAATAAAAGAAATAACACAGTTTTTATAGTCATTATAAAATACATAACAATTTTATTTGAACATGTTGATTTTACAGTCATTAAAAGTTTCGATTGGAAGTGTTTTATTTACTGACTATGGGATAAGAACTTTGAAATGGGTAATAAAACACTAATTTTTTTATGAAATCCATGATTTAAATGATTAATAAGCCTTTTTTGATGGACTTGTTTTAGAATCCAATATATCGCATATCGCTTTAAAAAATATTGTATCGTATCGTATCAAAATTTTTTGCTCAATACACGGCCCTAGTGCGTATTAGACTCTGACGTCATATGACGTCGTTTGCATGTTGCTTTACCAAACCGAAGCCTGAACAAGGCTGATTTCAATCAGTTTATGACTATCTTTCTGCAATAAACAGATAAATTCATTAAATCAAGACAAGTTTATTATTCGTTTAACTTTCGTTGTTATTCTCACGAGACCGATGTTTTAGAGTTTGTGTACGAAGCGATGCATTGTGGGTCTAAATTACTGCAGTAAAAAATTCTATGGAATGAATGTATAGTTGTCCGAATTCTCTCTTTGCCCAGGCGTTGTCATTAGAGCTCGCAAATACGTGCATTGCTTTGCAACCCTCGCTGCACTCGCTATTAATCTATTCAAAATAGCGTGGTAATTAAAGCTTATGATATATACAGTCAAAAGTATTTCACAAGTCCTATATGACAATGCATTATGAGTCTTAAAAAACATTTTCTTAACAGCACGGGTACACTACCGTTAATGGAAGGCAATTTTCAGCACAATATTTTTGTCTCTAGCATTCTACAATTAATTGAATGAGTCCCCAAGCATGACAGTCTACTATCTGTTAATACAAATCAAAAGCGACACACAGTTTTCGTCGGTTTACTGCATACTTTATTTACTTCATCACCAAAAACAATATAGTTTCTTTTTTACTTTATACAGCCAAAATTGAAAGATTATTTTCCAAAGACACTGCTCAATGCTCACATTTAAAATTGTAGTTTTAGTCTAAAACTTTTAGATGATAAATACAGTGGACCTTCAGATATCCGGACGCCAGATATCGGGATGCTTCAGTATCCAGACAATTTTTCATTCTGACGGAAATTTTTAACATTATTTTGTCTTGTTTAACTGGTAATTCAGGTATACGGACACTTCACCTATCTGGACAATTTGACTAGGAACCAAAGCATCCGGATAAATGAGGTACCACTGTAGTTGCTTCCAATACGTACCGTACAAACCTTGTGCACACTCAAAATATAAAATTACTTAGTAATTCTTTTTTACTTATTTTAAGTAATATGATTACTTATTATGATTGTCAATTACTGACTATGATTGAGTATTACTAAAAATTACTAAGTAATTTATGAATTACTTAAAATTCCTTATTGTAAGTAAATTAATTACTTAAAGTATATTAAAATTCATTCAAAAAATTAATTTAAGTAATTTTCAGTAAAATAATTTACTTAGATATCCATTATCGCCCTTGAAAATATTTTTAAATAAAACAAAATATTAATAAAATGTTTATAAACAATTCTGCATCTGAAATTTCTGTAACAATTAAATAACTTATACATTAAGAGATATAAATATCTCAATTTACACCGTTTAAAGAAACCTAGTATAAATGTTTTAGGTAAGCTATTAATAATAATTAATGAAAATATTAGCAATCGAAACTAGAAATCAACATCCTTACGGAAATATAGGTAACAATGAGTTAACTATGAAATGGTCCTTATTATTAAAAATCTGTAAAAGCTCTATACTCAGAGGAATCTTACACCTTAATAATGCTTTTAAAGAACATCATAATAATTCAAATTTTATGATCAATAATTATGTAGATGTCTACTCAAAACCACTTCTGAATTACCCAGAATGCTTTGTATTTCAAATACTAAGTAATTCATTTTTTTTACTTATTTTAAGTAATTTATTTACTCGTTACTGCTTCCATAACCATAAAATTATATTACTTAAAATTACTAATAAATATGATAAATTACTTATCATGATTGCTATGGTGACAAACTTTTTTACTTAAAAATTACTTAAATTAAGTAATTCGTTTACTTGAATTGAGTAAAAGTAAGTAATATTTTTTTTGGGTGATGACGTTTGCATGTCCAACTTTTGATATTTGATTGAGGGGTTAAATGATAATTGTGCACCTTGTACTGCTGTCTAAAACTATGTAAAGAAAACTGATAGCCAATTTACATGCAAATTTATGCTGACGTGTCGTCAGATAATCTTGTGGTCTAGACCTGTTTAAATAACTGTGCACTCCCCTGTGTGCGATGAGGCATGAATAAGTATGATTGTATGGTTAAGGCAGTGTTTAAAATAACTGTTGCTCAACTGCCTGAGATGCACAAATTTTGTCACAGGCAAACAGATTTGTAACAGATTACAGATTTGACACCTGACTGGACATGAAAAACTTTTCAAAAACTTGACCTTGGTCATGACTTTTGAATGAAAAATAAAGGGCTTTTCTCATTGGTATTCAAAACCAAGGCGCACATGGATCTTAAAAAATAGATAGAAAACTTGGAATGGTTTAAGTAACAATCTTTTAAAATCTTCTCAAGAACAGCAAAGTGATGATATGGAAGCATTCTCTTGTGATGTAGTGTATAAATAAATTGGTTAAGTTAAACCCCCCTTTGGGTAGGATGGGGCCACAATGGGGATCAAAGTTTCACATATTGCAATACACTCTGTATATACGGGAGAATCTTCCCTAGAACAGCAAAGCCATGATTAATAATGTACTGATATGGAAGTCATTGGAAGAAGCCTCAAGTAGTGTAGATTCAAGTTTATAATGCTGTTTAAATTGTACTAAAGTTAAAACCGGAGACATATTGCAAATGATGAAAAATACACTAGTAGAAAAGATATTTCACATACAGCAAAACTCATTTACTAAGAACACGGATATAGCGAATTCACGGATATAGCGAAGTTATTTTAAATCCCCAGCTATATAAATTTAACAAATTCCTTATATGGATATAACGAGTAACGGATGTAGCGAAGTAATTTCATAGGTCCCGTTGACTTTGTTATAACTTTGTTTTATACCCCAATTTATTTTCACAGAATGTACACGATGGGCTGCATAATGGTTTTGAAGGAAAAGGTTATACTATTTATTACAGACAGCAAGAAAACATCATTGAACACCACCAACTAATAAGACTCCAAAGGTGGGAGAATATATGTCATGCAACCATTTTAGATTTTTAATGAAATTACTGCATTGTATCAACTTTATATTCCATGTAAAGTAATTTATAAAATCAAAATAACCATTTAGTACCTTAATAATAATGTAGCATAAACTAAAGAGTTCTAAATTGATGAATGATAAATACATAATCATTTTAATAATCGTAATAATCATTTTAGGATTAATGGAAAATAAAATATTTAAAGCTGTCAAAAAGCAAAGATTAGAGTTCAGTGGATTCCATGATGGTACTTTGGATAATGTTAATCAGGCAGCAATTCTCTTCCCAAGGATCTTAAGTGCTTTTAGAAGAGGCTAATAAACAAAGGACAGTCACTTACTACAGAAGAGAAGCAGGGGGGATTAGTGGTATGACTGCACCTTACAAAGATGTAAAACTTTTGAAATTGTGTTTACATATACAATGATTATATGATAAATGTATCTAGTAATCAATATTAATATGATTAACATTTTCAAATTTTTTTTTACAAATTTTTCTGTTCATTAATGAAAAAAAATAATTTGTGTTGTATTTGAATTTGGAAATGTAAATGAATTTATTTTGAAATGTAAACTAATATTCTTACATGTAAACATGTACTGGCGTGTGTACATGGTGTATATATTGGACTCTGACAAAAGATGATGCTACTTCTTTTTATGGTGAAATTATTAATCACAATGATTTTTGTGAAATTTTCCATAGGGTATGGTATCTATGAAATCTACTCAGCCTTTTTGTTTGGCTACTTTTTAAATCATAGATATATATTATTTTCTTGATAACTGAAATCCTCAAAAAATGATATTTTGTTGTTTTTTGTCAACATGAATTATCTCCCCTTTTCAGCTTGAAATTAGAAATAATACTGTACATAGATATAATTTGATTAATGAAAATAAATAATTGTGTTGTATTTGGATTTGGAACTATAAAGAAATTGTTTTGAAATGCTATTTATGTTTTAACATGCATAAATATATACATGACATTTATTCGACCTTGACAAAGTTAATTTCCCATTTTTTGTATGAAACTCTTCAATGGCTTTTGGAAATTAATAATCATTTGCACAAAAATGTTTTTAATATTTTATTTGCCATAAGGTCTATAAAATAAACACTGCCTTTCTGTTTGGCTGAAGTGTTTTTTTTCTTTAATTTTTTTTATCATATAGCTGAATTTAGCTGTAAATCCTTTTAAAATTGAAAATTTCAGTTTTTCTCGACATGGATTATATCCCCTTTTCAGCTTAAAATTAAAAACTATTACTGGACCTGGTAATATTTGGATTAATTATGAAACGTAAATAATTTAATTGTATTTGAAAATGGAAATGTAAAAAAATGGTTTTGAAATGCTATTTATTTTTTACATGCAAACATATATGGCATATATTGGACTGTGACAAAAAAAGTGAAATTACCATTTTTATACAAAATTCATCAGTTGTTTTGGGAAATTAATAATCATTTGCACAAAAATGTTTTAATAATTTTATTGGCTTTAGACTATAGTCTCTATGAAACTAGCATGGCTTTTTAGTTTGGCTGTAGGGTTTTTAGAAATTTTTGATAGAGAAAAATCCTCAAAAATGGATATTTTACATTTTTTGCCAATATGGATTATCTCCCCTTTTTAGCTTAAAATTAGAACACATTACTGGTCATAAAAATATTTTGACTAGATATGGATAGTAACTACTTATGCTGTATTTTAATAAGAAATAAACATAAATGTGTTTTATTGTTTAGTTTTCTTTTCATTTAATCTTCATTATAAGTATTTTTGCCTGTTTTTAGAGGAAATTTCAGCCATTTTTTGCCCAAAACAGTTTATCGGTTGCCATGGATACCAGTGGCAGAATTTAAAAAAAAATTACAATTTTTTTGGAGTATCTTAGCATACCCTACCAACATGCAAAGTTTGAAAAAATTCTGAGACCCCCCATGAATCACCCTCTGCATGATTTTTACACGGAGTCGTACTTAAAATACATTTTCATAAAATAAATACATTGTAAACTTTATATCTGCTTTACCTATGAAGTAACCAGAATGTTGAATTTCATCCGAATAGATGCAATCATATATGATTAAATATATCACACATTAATCTTTCGTCAAAATTATAATCTTTTTTTAGCTCACCTGAGCCAAAGGCTCAAATGAGCTTTTCTGATCAAAATTTGTCCGTTGTCTGTCGTTGTCGTTGGCTTCGTTGGCGTTGTCGTTGTTGTAAACTTTTCATATTTTCATCTTCTTCTCAAGAACCACTGGGTCAATTTCAACCAAACTTGCTACAAAGTATCCTTTGGTAAAAGGAATTCAAATTTGTTCAAATGAAGGGCCACACCCTTTTCCAAGGGGAGATAATTATGAATTGAAAAAAATTAATGGCATTTTTAAAAAATCTTCTCAAGAACCACTGGGCCAGGAAAGATGAAACTCATATGGAATCATCCTCAGGTAGTGTAGATTCAAGTTTGTTCAAATCATGACCCCCCCAGGGGTAGGGTTGGGCCAAAATGGCCAATCAAAGTTTTAAATAGGAATATATAGGAAAAATCTTTAAAAATCTTCTTCTCAAGAACCACTGGACCAGGAAAGATGAAACTCATATGGAATCATCCTCAGGTAGTGTAGATTCAAATTTGTTCAAATCATGACCCCCAGGGGTACGGTGGGGCCAAAATGGCCGAATAATGTTTTACATATGAATGTACAGGAAAAATCTTTAAAAATTTTCTTCTCAAGAACCACTGGACCAGGAAAGATGAAACTCATGTGGAATCATCTTCATGTAGTGTAGATTCAAGTTTGTTCAAATCATGACCCCCTGGGGTAGGGTGGGGCCAAAATGGCTGATCAAAGTTTAACATAGGAATATACAGGAAAAATCTTTAAAAATCTTCTTCTCAAGAACCACTTGACTAGGAAAGATGAAACTCATGCGGAATCATCCTCAGGTAGTGTAGATTCAATTTTGTTCAAATCATGACCCCCAGGGGGAAGGGTGGCTCTAAAATGGCCAATCAAAGTATTAAATAGGAATATATAGGAAAGACCTTCTCAAGAACCATTGAGACAGGAAAGATGAAACTAATGTTGAATCATCCTCAGATAGTGTAGATTCAAGCTTGTTCAAATCATGACCCCCGGGGGTAGGGTGGGGCCAAAATGGCCGATAAAAGTTTTACATAAGAATATCAAGGGAAACCTTTTAAAATCTTGTTTTCAAGTACTTTAAAGCCATGCTTAGTGATATTTATAGGGAATCATCCTCAGGTAGTGTAGATTCAAGTTTGTTCAAATCATGACCCCCTGGGGGGTTAAAATTAAAGCCCCCCCCCCCAGCAAACTTTCAGTTCCAATCTGATGTGATTTTTCCCAGCCAATTGCTCAGGTGAGCGATGTGGCCCCTGGGCCTCTTGTTTCTTATCTTATTCATTTTGATTTGATAGCCTCAAATGAATACAGAATATTGTAATATAAAATAGACTATTAAAATTATAAGAGTTTTCTTACTTATCCAACGCAGTTTCTTGATCTTTAAAATTTTGAAGAGCTATTTCTGCAAAGGATTCAGGTTGCTGGCATTCTTGCTTTCTCAAATTTCCTAGTTTTGTTGACGTTACAAAATAAATGTCACCCCCTTCTGGCTCAGTTCTGTCAACATCAACTGGGAATTCTAATCTAAGAAAACTACCCAAGATGTTGCAAATTTTTATTGTAATGTAGACCTTTGAAATTTCACGGTCTTTTAAGATTGTTTTAAGATCTCGAATCCACGTGTATCTAAACTTTGGAATGGTAGTAAAATTCATAATGTTATATTTCAGATGATGAGTTCCGACTGCAAGTTGCACGTTTGATATTTTACTCTCATTTTCTATCAGCGTGAGCCAAGAACACTTGACAAGAGACATTGCAACAGATATCACTGGCGTGCATTTAAAATCGACAATAGACGGTATTGTGCTATCTATCATTATCGGGGGAGAAATATCAGAATTGCTCAGCCCTGCACTATCTGTGGAGTTAATTGTTAGAAACAAAACCTGTCCCGTCTCCAGTTGGACACTTCCAGCAGGCAAAGACGTAAGAACTCTGTCACTTGAATGCCAGAGGTCTTCGGAAAATGGCTCTTTTCGCAGAGATACTGACTGGTTTGCGATAAATGACAGGTCATTTACTTCCCACGTAAGATCAATGGAGTCGAGAGATTTTTGAAATATCGCTGTATTGAGTGATGTAGGTTTGGTTTTGTGGATAAATGAAATTTTGGGAGGACGGGTGTCAATTTTTATTCCATTTGAAGTGGAAACGATGTATGACTCGCGGCAATTATGTCCTGTTTTTGCCCTTACAGTAACAAAGTATCTTTCAGCTTCAAAGAGCTTCAGATGTATTTGGGCATGGCCAACAGTTTTGTTTCTCATGATAATTCCATACTCTGTATATGGAAGAATATCAGTGAAATATGGCTTGGAACCTACAGCCCAGTTGTAGCCTATAATATTACAAGCCTCGCTTTCAAATCCAATGAAGGACATCGCTATAGATGTTTTATCTGTTTGGTAATCTTCGTCTTTCAAAAGATTTCTACCGTCGAAAATTATACCGGGGACATTTTCTCTTTGAACATATATTGGCTTAGATTTCAAAATCTTTGAAACAAGTCCTGCACGATTTTTGACTTTGACTGAAACGATATAAGTTTTGTTTGATTTTGAGGTTGGTACCATGTTTAAATTTTCAATCAGAGCAGAGGTTTTTTCACCATCAATGGTGAACCAAGGGAGTTCTTCTTCGATGTTACTTTCAGTCCCAATGGCAACAAAAATCTTCTCCAGGTTACTTTCAAAATCACGAGCTTTCCAGCTTATGGTCATGCTTGAAGGAGAATCGTGCAAAATATATCCGTTTTCATCAAGCTCCTCTTCCTCTTTAATTTCACCGATGTGAACCTGAGTTTAAAGAAAATGATTCAAGTTTTGCAAACCAGACATAGTTGCATTGTATTTTTTAAATTATGAATTCATGTTTCTAGTTGTTGAGGAAATAGAGAGTTATATATGTAAGACTCCAAAGTCCGATGGTGACGCCAAAGTCCGATGGTCTCGCCAAATCCCGATGGTCTGCACCAAACCCCGATGGCTCGCTGTCTTCACGGACGCCAAAGTCCGATGGTAACGCCAAAGTCCGATGGCTCGTTTCCTATGAGACACGCTGCACTAATGTGCGATGGTCTGACACGCCAAAGTCCGATGGTGTGGAGAAACAATCAACGTTTATGACGTCACAATAATTCGACGTCGATCCTTGACGCCACTGTCCAGCATTCAAAAAGCAATCATTTCTGAATTTGTCCTCGAAAACAATTTTATTGATTTTGCTTATTGTTTGCACCTTCCAGAGATATAAGGTTTAGTCCTCGCACACCACTCGATTGATTAGGTTTAGTCCTTGCATTGCACAGCCCGAGAGATTCATGGTTAGTCCTCGCATACTAGTCGAGTGATTAGGGTTAATCTTGCACCCACCCAAGATATCTAGGTTATTGTTGATACGCACTTTTCGAGCGTTTAGGGTTAGTCTCGCACCTATCTGAGAGATATAAGGGTTAGTTTTCGCAAATCTACTTATTTATACTTATTTTTAAGAACTTGGCATGGCGCGGCATTGAGGTTTGGCGCAGTGGTACTATGACGTCATAAACGTTAATTGTTTTCCGCACCATCGGACTCTGGCGTGTCAAACCATCGGGGATTGGCGCAGACCATCGGCCTTCGGCGTGACCATCGGACTTTCGAGTCCCATCGCACTTTAGAGTCCTACATATATATGGATGGTATAATTATCTCAAGGGAAAGACGTTTAAGATCATGTTTTTCATAAAGTTCAAGAACGAGATTTTCTTTAGAATAATAATTTAAACAACAAGGAATGATCTATGAAAACTTGAAAAGAGGTTCTAATCTAAACCCCCCCTCCCCCAACAAAAATGTATGCTTTACATGATGATTTTGTTACTTACTTTGATAAGTGTTGGTGGTGTTATGTCAATCACAACACCACTGGATTCGTGCGTTGTAGAGAGGTCGGCTTTGTTTATGGCTGTGATATGCGCAAAATATTTATAACCAGATGTCAAAGAGAGGGATATATTGTATCTTTCAAATCCTTTGGAACTCCTATCATGAACGTGATAATCCGTATTTTCTGGCCATATCTTTAATTTCTGTCCGGCTTCCAAACGGTTTATAACAACTCTGTATTCTTTAACGTCTGACTCCTGGTCTTCGAATTTCCAACGCAGAGAGATATGTTTATCGTCAGCCTGGTATCCGTTGCCAGACAGACAGTCATTTATAAGGAGGACATTGGGCGGTGTATGATCAACTAAAACCCCATCAGAAGATTTCAATGATTTTAGTTCTGCGCCGTTTTTTGTTTCAATTTCAACAGAGACAAAATCAAGATGATGAAGGGAAAAAGAATGATCTTCGAATATTTTTTCCTGCTCCATATTAAACGATTTTTTCAACTCTTTATTGACATAGATGTTCACTTTGTAATCTGCTATGTGGCTTTCTAGATCGGTGAAATTATCCCAACATGCGCGTACAGTTGCCGACTCGGATGTAAAATTTTTGTCGAAAGTAAGATCAATGCCATCGTTTACAAATCCAGGATTAGGCGGTGTTATATCAATTAAAACTGTAAAGGAAAATGTTTCTAACAATGTTAAAATGGGTGTTGCTGGGCTATATTTGAAATAAAGTTCTAATTGCACAGCATTTAAATTTTCCCGTAATCCCTTTATCAAACTTGATTACTTAAGGTGATCCTACTTTACCTTACAATGATTTGCAGAAGTGCTTAATACATTCTAAATGTAATGTAATGATCATATTAAATATATCATCATTTTAACCTTTCTTTTATTAGGAATCTAATTAATTTTGATACTTCTGAATTAATAATAATGCCTACGTGCGCGAGCAAATTCACGTTAAAACTGAGGGTACAATAATTGAGTTACTAGTAAGGAGAATTCATACCTCCGTCTGAGGATCCGTTTGATTTCTTGGAATTAAGAGCATCATTAAATGCAATCACAGTAGAATAGTAGGTTTTGTTGTGCTTCAAGATTGCTTCTGCACATCCCATTTTTGTGTGGTGACTAAAATTTCTAAATTTAACTATATCATCCTGTTCCGGAATGCTGCCAACGCCCCAGATAAACCTGAAAAAAGTTCATTTAATTCCTTAATGTAGCATTTTGTGTACGTTGTGTGTTTATTCAGTTGATTTGCTAAAAGTACCCAACTTAAGTCGGGCGCTTGGTAAAGGGACATTTGCTTCCAAATCTGTATCGACTTAGGTTTAAAGTAGCAGATGTTCGAACCACAAACTCCCGAGTAAAGTGTTCGCACTTTTCCGATTCTCCTACCGTTACGGTATCTGCTTTGTTCCATTTTTGACAAATTGATCGGATATTGTTTATTTTCCCGTTCAAGATTTAAAAAAAATATAATGACAGGTCACTATTTTATCGATGATGGACTCCACATTACTGCCTAAAAGAAAGGCCATTGAACAGTAAGGTGTTATTTTTGTGCCATCGCAACTCCAGACAAGGGCTCATCCTACAGACCAGCAATTTTTACTTCATTGTGGCAAGCTTTTGGCCAAAAAACAAAAAAAAGTTGCAACCTATTTTTTATCGACTTAGGTCAGTCGGGTAATGACCATAGTTTGAACTCAGGACTCTCCAATCACAATTCACTTTACAGTAATTTACTAGTAAAAAATGTATCAATGTTCAATGTCAACTTAATGAATTTACTTTAAAAAAAGTTTCCACTAAATTTGTAAAATTGTGCTTTAATTTCAAAGATAATAGAGGTAAAAATAAAAATTAACATACTCTTTGATTCCAGATTCAGGATCATAAAAATGAGCCCATTGCGCACAAATTTTGTTAGTTTCGTGCTGATATTGAAGATCACGTCGTAGTTTGTTTCCATCACTAACTACTCCAACAATAGGCGGAGTTTTATCCACCATGATTGGCTGTGGCGCATGCCCAGAAGCAAATTGATCAACTGAAAAAGAAAATAATGTTCAAGGCAAAGGAAGTTGAGTTTGTATGGTCTCTAAATTGGAAAATAATCATGTAAAATAAGAATTTTAAATTGTAAAGACGAATTATTAATACATGTATGCGAGAGAATATTCAATCAGATAAGTAACAATCAAATCTTAAGCTAAGTCGTGCTTTTATTTACCATTATTAACTGCTCTAACTCTTATCCAAGCCGGAACTCCGGGTTTTAAATCCAAGTTTTCCACCACAAAATATGGATCAAATCTGTTCATGTGATTTCTTCTGACGTATCCACGCACTTCAATGTCGTGTTTAGATTTCCCTAGTCCAAAATCTATTCTGTTAATACCCGATCCGTCATCCGACACGTTATAATAAACGGCCAAGATGTCGAAATCTTCGTCAAACATTACATCTGGAACTTGGTGAAAGATTGGAGGGGAAGTATCAATGATTAGCGGTGTAGAATGACAAACTGTAGTTACGAGGGACCCACCATATATGACATTGTTTAAAGCTTGTACAGTTACGTAGTATTTCCCATCTTCCAAATGTAAATTATTTTTAACTCCGGTGTTGGTCCAAAACTTTGGACTTGAGAGAGTCGCGTGAGGGTCATTATACTTAACAATATCGGTTCCACATGGCTTTCTTCCAGCAGCCCAAGTAAAGCCAAATATCCCACTCTCCCTGTCTTTGAACCCGTCCCAGTTTGCTTGAAAAAAAGATATGTAGTGTATTTCAAAAAGTGTTAGTGTTTTCAACTTGTACTGGCTTTACATTATGCATTCCCTAAAATTTTTCACCGTGTATCTTTAAACAATTACCTGATATATAATGATTAGAAATTGTATATTTCTGTTCCACTGCTGGGTGGTGACCATTAAAAACGGTTCGACTGCCAACACCATCTATAATAAGCCTGGATATAATGTTAAATACATTTAGAAACATGATTAAAATCATATGAATGTTAATATCACTTCAATCATTATAAATTGCTGGTTAATTCAAATCTGCGGAATTACTTGTTCCACATTTTGTGTAATCAAAGGAATAATTTCTCCCACCTATTAAACAAATACAATTTTCAAGAATGGACGATAATTATTTGGAATGTCAATAAGTACTACTTTCTAACCTATAAAGTACTTTGATATTGACCCTCACCTATGGTTCTCTTTCCAGGTAACATCTTTACATCGTTGCGTAATAGCAGCATTACAACCATCGGGCTTTATAGTATCTAGAATTTTTAATCCAAGATTTCCTGGTTCAGGAGGCGTGAAATCTATAATGGTGCCTTTGGTGGAAAGAATGGATTTATATCCAAGAGTGTTTGTTACGAGTATATTAATGTAATAAACAGTTCCATGTACAAGAGAGATGTTTTTGTATGCCACGTGGCCATTAAACCCAACGTCTATGCGCTCATAATTTCTATATGCTCCCATTTTGTGCAGAGAGGCAAAGGGTCCTTCGATTACTGAATGCAGGTTACATGTTTGGGTGTAAGCGTCAAAGTCGATTGAAACGCACTTCTCACCATATTTCAAACAAGTTGTTGCACACGAGATTTCATTGTTTTCGACAGTTTTCTTCAGAGCTTTTGCTGATAACTTACCCTCTCTTCCTTTTGAGAAATTTTTAGATCTGATAAAATATTCGTATTTGAACCAGAAGAGCTTAAATCTAACTTATCCCAAGGAATCACCTCGCTGCCATACGGACCAGGACTATACCCCAATGCTTTCACATTATAATCTATAAGTGGTGAATCATCTAGAATTATAACATCGGCCTGGAGAGAACTGGGATGAGATGTAAAGGGATATGCTGCCTCTATGCGACCATCAGGATTTGTATTATCGTATGTTTGCAAACTGCATTTCGCAACGGTTTCTAATCCTTCAGTGTTTTTGGCTTTGACCGTCCAGTAAAGAGGGACTCCATTTATAAGTCTTGCAGGTGACACCAGACTTGTGCCCTGAAAACTTTGCCAATTCAACACATCAGTTCCTCCTATATATGTTCCAATGGCATAAGATAATTTTAGATCGCTTCCATCATCTTGTGCGTATGCCTCCAGGTGGAAAGCTGTATCTGTGACATGTCGACCGGAAAGTTGTTTAACTTGACATTCTCTGTCAAATTTTGGTGGTGTACCTGTCTTACCAAACTTTCTTTTTGTGAAAATATTCCACTTGATAGGAGAGCAACTCCAACTCCAAAAACACTTCTCAAAGATGATTCCTCCAAATACTTTTGCCCAGGCGCAGAGTTTTAACTCTAAGGGAATTAATTCAACATCCAGTTTTTGGCTGTCAAAAATTAAGAAGTTTAGTTTTTAAAGCAAATAATACGTAATTAGTTAACATAGTAATTGGTAGAGATAAACAAAACAAAAATATACGAAAAACTTAAATTCAAAAACAAAAAAAATTTTAAAATAAAAAAAACGAAAAACTTAAATTAAAATAAAAGAGAAATCAAATTTAAAATAATGACAGAAAAATAGTCTTTATTCTGCAGGTGTTAAATTTAAATGAATTAATGAAAACAGGAGATTTTAAAAAGGATTTTGCTTACACAATTTCAATTGGGGACTTGGACTGTTTAGTTTCGGTTGTAAAAGGAAATTTTGTTTTCATGATATATCCAATTAATTTTATTCCTCCGCTTGCAATGAGAAGTTCAATTGACACCCCACCGTAAACTTGACCCGAAATCCAAGGAGCAATGGTGACCTGAAAAATATGATTTATAAATTATTCAGATACAGTACAATTTACGATCCCTGTGATATAGACATGAGTTATGTGTATTACGATATTGTCCAATAAAAAAACCAAGGAAGCCTCAATTTGATACGCTTTAAAGAGTGCAATTTATCTGACATACACCATAGACAAGTGGTGGCGACTCCATATGAGTGAAAAATGCTCGAGAGGGACATTAAACAACATACAATTAATCAATCAATCTAAAATACATGTTTCAAAATTTTTCACTTGTTAAGAGTGATTATCTAAAGCTAGAAATGAATATTCAGTTAATTTTATTTAAATGTAATTAATCGCCAATTCCTCTCTCGGATTTATAATGACATTATTCAAGCCAAATATAAAATTAGCCTATGATGTGAAAATCAGATTAACGGTGAAGTGAAAAAAAATGATCTGTGCATACTGTTTAACGTTATTATTTTGAATTTTGTAACATGAAATACGAATTTTTTTTCCATTTATTACGATACAATTTTCATCTCGTTAATATTAAACATATACATTAGCCAATCAAAACGTGTTTTACAAAACAATTGCATTAGAATTCAATATTAATTTTACTTTTTTATAAAATAAATACATGTAATTTAATATGGGATAAGTTATACTTTTGAAAGGCAAAGACTATATTTTTTTTCTCGAATTTTTGAAAAGAAAAACAAATAACAGATTCTTGAACTAGTTGTCAAACATGAATAAGACAAAATTAAAGATTCCAATGATGTTAATTGGCATTTATAAATCGTTTCTTACTATTGAAGTGCCACTTTTTGAACGAACATCACAGAAAATAGAAAGTCCTATGGCTCCACCTGCACCAAATTCTAAAACCAAGTTGAAAAGATGTAAACAAAATTCAGAGGAAATGAGTCCGAAGGTTAAATAGATTATTACTTTACTGTAGTATATACTGCATACTTTGGTACCATATATTTCTTGAGAAGATAATATTAAGAAATAAATATAAAATGTAATTCTAAAATTGGAATTAAAAGTAAAATATATCAATCACCTTTTATCGGCTTGAAAAACACAAATATAGCCATAAATCGTGTTCGTATGTGGATAATCTTTGAGAGCCAAGGGCTTATTTCTTTTAGGATTCTCATAATTTTAAAATTTATTTCAAATTTTCCATACCATATTAATAGATTTATTACCGAGACGTATGCCTATTGGACCCACTCCAAAAGTGTATCCAACTTTAAAAATCGTCAAATCAAGATGTTTTTCTGGATCGTCACCAAGATCTCTCTTGTCTGATGTTTTGAAAAATTCTGTTGTTGTTGTACTCTTTGGGGTCAAACTGTTCATGTTTAACTGCACAAAAATATAAATAAAATCAAATTAGAAAATAAGCTGAAGATTCTTCTTCTCCGTATCTTTTCAATATATTTCATTCCCTAATATATTTGGAGAATACAAAACATGTCCTTTTAATTAAGTCTTAAGCTCTAAATTAGTAGAATACTATATGTTATAATATTTGTTTTAAAAAAAAAACTTTATGCCTCCTATGAGAAATATCAGCCTGATAGTGCAGTGAAAAATAACCAAACACAGATATGCAGTTTTGTCGAATATGTCATTGAATTCAATGACATAAAGTAAAAGGTAAAACAAATCATTAAGGTGGATCACCTAATATTAAACAATACAGGTTACAAGTACATAGGTGAAAGGTACAAGTGTGATCCCCCTGAGACTGACTAGAAATTTACATGCAGTGAACATATCAGAGTACATGTAAATATGCATATAAAAGTATAACATAAATGAGTAAATCCTTGGAGGCGTCCAAACAATTGCGCCAATCCAAGAAACGTATGACAAGTTATAAAATAATATAAAACCAAAAACCCAAAAAAGGGTGGGTGGTGGGTTTTTTTTTCAAGGCACTACCAGGCTAACAAAAATGGCGCAACAAAATCAAGGATTTTGATTGGGTTACTCTGTCAAGAAAAGCAAAGCTTGCGATTTCGCAATGAAAGGTTATTTGATAATTGCGCTGCGATAAAGGCGCATATCCTGCAGACTGCGCAGAGATATGCGGAATTATCCTAAGATGTAAAATATATTTCTCATAGCGGCATAAATTGAATTATCTGTGATAATATTGTTGTGTTTGAGTATATTTTTAACCTTATCCTTTATTCCTTCCTTTGCTAGATTGAAAGTATCAACAACAGATGACGCATCTATGTTTCTTCCTGATAGTCCAGAAATGAAATCTTTCATAGGTAACTGTTTAACAGAATCCATTATGTTCCCTGTAAAGGACAGGAAAAAATAAACGCTTGATATCGTACATGTTAATAACAGTGCTTATGCTTTATTCTCTTTCCCGTCTGCAATTTCAAGGTTAAGTAGGGAGTGTATATGTTTTTATCGTGATTAATTTTAGAAGAATTTGATATCAATATTGATTTTAAACTATTGAAATCAAACTTATATTACTAATATAAGTGCGTGAATTTTTATGAGTTTGTCATTTTCATAACATGTCACCTTCATTTATCAATAAATAATTGGAACCTTCATTTGTTGAATTATTACATCATTTCCTTTGATGGTAGACCCCATTATAATTCTATCATCCTTATAATGACCTTGAAAGCAAACGATCGCATTTTAGCTGACTTGTTACATGTTCATTGTCAAGCCTTTATTCTAATACTGAAAATGACAACGGAAAGTTTCGCCTACCTGATAAACGTAGGGTCAGGGATCAGGGGTCACATCCTAAACGCTGGATCTCTACCTTAGAACTCTCAAGGTTCCAAGTTTTATCCCCTCTTTACATATTCACATTGTTTATGAATTTAGATCAATCGCTATTCGATTTTTTATCGTTTACATTTACATTAACGTGGTGTCGCCCGCGTTGCGCTGTGGTTAGAGAGTCTGCTCTATCCTAAAAAAAATACTATATACTAAGTAAACAGTTGATCCTAAATGTCGCGTGTTCGACGTGGCACGTGGAGACAAGTTTTTCTGATTGGACCGTATAAACGGAGTTCCAGTGTTGCAGACGGTACTGGAAGGAAAGTGATCCCTTACTGCTCAATGGCCCTGAGTGCGAAGAAAAAAATTTGCAGCTCTCCATGACCAAGTAGTGGCATCTCCATATGAGTGAAAAATTCTTGAGAATTGCAGCATACAATCAATCAATCATTCATTTACCTGTGAGTAAAGGTTCCATTCTTTTCCTCCTTCGAACGTTTTCTAGGAAAATAAAACACTACACGCTTAATGATTAATGTGAACATAAACAAGTATTTTATGTATTAAATAACCATACACACAAATCTAAAGCGACACTTTGTTGTTTTTTTTAAATGAAGAAATTGGCATGATTCACACCTTAATGCTAAGCATTTTCACCTTTTGAGTTCGTAATGTTCAGCTTAAATGTAAGGTTATCCAGAAGATGTACACTTGGAAAACAGGTCTGTGTGGATAAACTGCATATCTTCAATGACAAACTCGTCCTTACGGTTTTATTTTTTGTCACTTCAAAAAATCCCGATAAAATGGCACTGGATTCTTTGTTTATGTCGATTGTCTTTCCCGGTATTTGTACTCGTCCGTCTTTAAAATTAAAAAAGAAATACATTGATGCAATGCTCATCTAAATCATTATGTTCTGTTGGTCTAGTCATTACATTTTTTTCAATATGCATGTTTTTCTATTCAAAATGTTTATCGTCATTTGTGGTACATGTACTATCATATGCATAGGGGCTTGGTTTGAACATGAATGAACCACCTTTACTTGTCAATGCTTCCATATATAATTATCAATATATATATATTCTTTAATGCTTTTATGTTAGTTAAAGAAGTGTTCTACAGGTGTCCCCCCAATATATAATCCCATTTTGTCTCCATTCTACCGCTGGACCATGATCTGAACATTTACCATTTCCAAGACTACAATTTCCACCTATATACCAGTTTTATTGACCTATTGATACTTGAGAAAAATATTTTACAAGATTTCTCCCAAGATTTGGCCAAACCCTGCTCCCGGGACAATATATATAAACAATAAAACGTTAATCTTCAACTACAACTTTCTGGCCATCCCATTGAAAATGTTAGAACAGAGATATTATTAGGTGTTCACATTGATCATACTCTTCAATATACTTCGCATGTAGATGCAGTTTGCAAATTGATGCCAACCCCAAGGCCTTCGACAAAGTGCCACACCAGCGGCTGGCTAAAAATTTTCACCACTATGGTATCCGTGGCCCACCCTTACTTATAAATTATTTACCTTACGAAAAATTAAAAAGTTTCTACCATTGAATACTAGAAAGCTATTTTATAATGCATTTATTTTACCATCAATTTTATATTGCCTTTCTATTTGGGGTAACTCTCCTCAAACTCACATCGATAGAATATACAAACTTCAGAAACGAGCAGCTAGGATTATTTTAAATGAAAAATATGATTCACCTTCAATGCCATTGTTTAACATTTTAGGCTGGTTAACAGTTTACGAACTTCTATATTTACAGAAAAGCATTCTAATGTTCAAAATATTTCATCATATGTCTCCGGATTATATGCATGATTTTTTTGAATTTCAAAGTTCTGGATCATACACATTACGCTCAGAGACAAATTCAGAACTTCGTTTACCAAAATATAAAACAAATTTATTCAAAAATTCTTTACAATATTCGGGGGTTATTATCTGGAATGAGTTGCCTATTAGTATTAGGAATTCCCAATCCCTTGCAATATTTAAAAGTAGTGTTGAAAATTTTTTACTTATGAAACGTACTGGTTCTACATGAAATTTATGTTTTCCTTTCTTTTCAATGAAATGCCAATATTTAATTTATTCTATTGTAACAAAGTGTTTATATTTTATTGTTTCATGTTTGTAATTATTGTCTTTAATGTATAAAACATTGTATATATGTTATAAAGAAGGCCCTGAGGAAGACTAGTGCTTGCACTAATCGGGTTACCTTCTATAAATAAAGTATTATTATTATTATTATTATTATATTGACTTTACACTACAGAGGTAACTTGCAGGTATCCAAGTTTTTTTGGCCCAGTAAATCCGAAGAATTTAAGATTTAAATTTTTTCCCCATTCATTTTAATGTACATGTAAAACTTCTCTATTGTGGCCCTATTTTTTTCCCTTGGGATCATTAAATTGAATATGTTTCCCTTTCTAATTATTTCCCTCTGTGATAACTACTTGAAAGTTAGCGGAGTTGATTTCTTCATCATTCTACCGTAATGTAAATTACCCCCGGTAGGCAGATCGATAGGTCAGGAGCTAAGGAGGCATAATATGCATGCAAATTTCGTTCGCATCTGACTCTGTGTCTGACACTAAGGAGACCAAATATGCATGTAAATCTCGTGCGGCTGCCTTTGTATTTGACGTCAGTGGGCGAAGACTATTGAAACTGATATGGGAGTCCTCGTGTAACTTAAATCTATGCCTACATTTTTAAAATCTAAATGTACAATTTTATTTCAAAATGAAATGGAAATATACGGAATCATTGTCTATTTAGTATAGTATATACCAGGAACATCAACGATAGTGGGAAACATGGGATAATTTATATATAACAAAATTCGCCCGATATGCAAATTATCCCATGTTTCCCACTATGCATGACATACTATACTAACTAGACTGTGATTCTTTACATATTTTATAGCTAAACCCCTTCTACCGTTTTTTTTCCTGATCAAGTTGTTCTGAAATGAAATATATGGAGATAACGAACAGTATTTAAGTTCAAACGTCAATTAAACAATACAAAATTGGAACAG